AAAACTGCGCCCCTTGGGCCACCAAAAGAGGCCCCCCAAGATGTCTGCGAGGGGGTCCCGAGAAGGGCCGCAGAGGGGGCACTCGAGCTAACATGTAGAGCCCTGTAACCCCAGATCGCCCCCGAGACTGCCAGCAGGCGCGCAGGAGGCCCCAAGAGGCATTCCAGAGGCCCCCAGGAGGCCCCCGGGAGGCTCCGAAGATGCGTCCAAGAGGCTCTCAAGACGCCTCCGCCGAAGCCACAGGAGGCCTCTTAGAGGCCTTTGTCCACGACGCAGGCGCGGTGGCGGAATGGGCCGAGGCGAACTAGATCCGCCGCGTCATGTGGTCTGCACACGGGATTTGTTAACGTGCCGTATTTTGGACTCGGCTAATCCAGCCAGCCACCCAGGAAGACCCGTGCGTATCAGAAAGGTGTTTCACCCGCCTCCAAGACGCTCGAAATGACCTCCAACAGGGTAGCCAAGATGGCCTCCCCGGATCCAAGATGGCCTCCAAGACGGCCTAAGACGCCTCCAAAACGGACAAAAAAGCCTCCAAGTCTGAGAATACCACCTCTTTAAGACTGCCGAAGTTGTGACCCAGAGAGGGCCCAAAAACGCCTCATGACGGCCCAAAGAAGCCTCCGAGAGGGTCTCGAAGTGGCCAAAATCATTGCTTCTCCGTTGGTTGTCCAACAGTTTTCGCGTTCTCGCCTTTTCGGGCGTCCGAAATCCGAAGATCGCCCAAAAAGGCACCAAGATAGCCCCAAGACGGCCCCAGAAGCCCCCGAGAGGCCCCCAGGTCCCAAGATGGCCCAAGCGGGCCCAAAGAAGGCCCCAAGAGGGCCCCAAGACTGCCCCGCAGACCTCCAGGACAGCCCTCGAGCGCCCAGAGAGGACCTCATGACGGACCCGAGGGGCCCCCAAGATGACGTCCGAGGGCCGAGAGGCCCACTCGAGACCCCCTGAAGGCCCCAAAGAGGCCCCCAGGTGGCTCCATGAGGCCTCAGTTTCCTCCTCCTCCTCCTCCTCCTCCTCCTCCTCCTCCTCCTCCGCCTTCTCTCGGGGGCGCGCAAAAATGGATTAGCGATCCATGGAATTGGCGCGCAAACATGGATTAGCGGTTGGGCGGCGGAGATCCGCGATTTCCCGTGGAAACGGGACCCGTCGCTAATCCACGCCCCCTTGATCCATGTTTGCGATCGCCTGATTATCCTCCCTCTCCTCCTCTCTCTCTTCCTCCCTTCGAGTGCTCCCCCCCAGTGTTAAGTCGGGCGTGTCCCCCTACAGGGGAATTTTGGACGAAAAAAAAATGCCCCAAAATATTCAAAACAGCCCCCCAAAAAATGCTCAAAAAATCGTTCCCTGACTATTTCTTGACTATGTTTGAATATTCCTCCTGTAGAGGGACAGGCCCGACTTCACCCGAGGGCTTTCCACAACGGATGGGGGAACACGCAGTCCAACAGCATGGGAAGCCTTTGGCCCGGCGCCTGGCCACGTGGGCGTTCTTCCAAAAGGCACGGGGCGGCGGTGGCTCGCGGAAGGCGTCTTCGGCATCGCACGGCCGGACCGAGGAGCGAAGAGCCTCCTTCAAGAGCATGTCTGACTGCCTACCGGACCATCCCAACCCAACCCGAAGACCCGAATCTCAGGTTTGGGGGGGGCTCCATGTGTTTTTCGATGTTCCCCGACCCCCCCCCCCACACTGGAAATGGAGGGCAAATTGAGGCCTTCGGGTTGGGTTGGGGCGGTTGGGTTGGTGGGGAATGATACCCTCTGCCGGCCAAACTGAAGAACCCTCGAGGGTATCCTCCCCCAGGGATACACGGGAACATCTGGCAGACTCGAAGAGCAGTAGGGTACCGTCGGGCCGCTGAAAGAAGGAACGACAAATAAAGAACGAAGCCCCTTTTTGGCCCTAGAAGCGCCTCCGTGCCCGAGGAGAGCACGAGGAACAGCAGTGGAGGAACCTACGGAACGTCGAGCCCCTTCCGAATCCAAATTGTTCCTTGTTTCAGCGTCTTGACTGCTCCGTCCCCGAACCGGCCTCGATCTTATGCCTCGGTCCGATCGTAGGCGGTATCGCGCGCAGTCCCCGTGGGCTGCAGGCGCCGCTGCACTCAGCGACGCCTCCTGCTGCCGTCCGCAGGAGCGGAGCCCAGGAGAACCTCCACGGATACCATCGAAACGCTGTCCTAAGGAACCAAAAAAATGAGGAACGAGGCCACTGCTTTCCAGAAGTTGAACTCCGATGCCCCATAGAAAAAACCTTGGGGAAACCATGCACAAAGCGACAAAACCACTCAGGAGCACTGAGCCCCTCCCCAACGACAAGGGTTCCTTTGCGGCGGCCCGACTGTGTCGGCCCCCTCCCCTTCGCGGGGCTCGGAAGGCGCGGCCGCCGCCAGGGCCCGCCTCCCCCCCGAAGCTTGCGCGGGGGGGCATCCTGCGTCCCAGTCGAGGATGCTCCAGTTCGACTCCTCCAAGGGGCGGCCGCTTGCTCCAGGAGAGGTCCGACGGGAGAAGGAAAGAGAAGAGCGTGGGCGAAAACGACATAGCAGCAAGGCGGGACCCATCAGAGTCCTGCCTCCTTCCGAGATCTGATGTCCAGTGCACAGAGTGTCACTGGCATGCGCACCAAGAAGGGGCGCAAGCAACTCCAAAACGAGATCACCAACCCCCCCAGCCGAAATCACACGCGCTGGGCACAACGTGGCTTTGAAACGCGAAGTCCACAGATTCAGCACCCGCGGCTACCAAGGATGCACGAGACTGACAAAGAACTTGCCCACCTCCTCCTCCTCCTCCTCCTCCTCCTCCTCCTCCTCCTCCTCCTCCTCCTCCTCCTCCTCCTCCTCCCCTCCTCCTCCTCCTCCTCCTCCTCCTCCCCCCCCTCCTCCTCCCTCTCCTCCTCCTCCTCCTCCTCCTCCTCCTCCTCCTCCTCCTCCCTCCTCCTCCTCCTCCTCCTCCTCTCCTCCTCCTCCTCCCTCTCCTCCTCCTCCTCCTCCTCCTCCTCCCTCCTCCTCCTCCTCCTCCTCCTCCTCCTCCTCCTCCTCCTCCTCCTCCTCCTCCTCCTCCTCCTCCTCCTCCTCCTCCTCCTCCTCCTCCTCCCTCCTCCTCCTCCTCCTCCTCCTCCTCCTCCTCCTCCTCCTCCTCCTCCTCCTCCTCCTCCTCCTCCTCCTCCTCCTCCTCCTCCTCCTCCTCCTCCTCCTCCTCCTCCTCCTCCTCCTCCTCCTCCTCCTCCTCCTCCTCCTCCTCCTCCTCCTCCTCCTCCTCCTCCCTCTGGCTCCGCCTCCTCCTGTGGATTTGCGACGGTGTCACAATGGACTCGCGCGATCGGCTGGCGATTCAGACTACCGCCCCTCCGGAGCCAGGCGGCCCTCCCTCTCCGCCCCAGTCTTTTGGAGGGAAATTCGAAAATACTCCAAAAATATTCAAAACAATATTCATACATACTCGAAAATTACCCAAAATATACTCAAAAGAATTGGAGGGAAAGTCGAAAACACTCAAAAAATACTCCCAGAGTGTTCAAAAATAACAGAAAAATCGTCCGCTGAGCATTTTTCCCGACCTACGCTCTGCCTAGAAGGGTTCTTACTGTCTTAGCTTAAAGGGGACTGGCAGTGGAAATCGCCCCGAGCGGTTCCCCCAGGATCCGCCCCGCGGTTCCCCCAGTCCCCTGGGAGCTTTAGCTTTAGCTTTAGCTCAAGCTTTAGCTTTAGCTTTAGCTTAGCTTTAGCTTGACTTTAGCATAGCTTTAGCTTAGCTTTAGCTTAGCGTTAGCTTAGCTTTAGTTTATATTTAGCTTAGCTGTAGCTTAGCTGTAGCTTAAAGTTAGCTTAGCTATAGCTTAGCTTTAGCTTAGCTTTAGCTTAGATGAAGCTTAGATTTAGCTTAGTTTACCTTAGCATTAGCTTAGCTTCAGCTTAGATTCAGCTGAGCTCTAGCTTAGCTGTAGTTTAGATAATGATTAGTGTTAGCTTAGTTTTAGCTTAGTGTTAGTTTAGCTTTGGCTTAGCTTCAGCTTAGCTTCAGCTTAGCTTCAGCTTAGCTTCAGCTTAGTTTAGTTTAGCTTTAGCTTAGCTTTAGTTTAGCTTTAGTTTAGCTTTAGATTAGTTTAGCTTAGTTTTAGCTTAGATTTAGCTTAGATGTAGCTTACAGTTAGTTTAGCTGTAGCTTAGCTTTAGCTTAGCTTTAGCTTAGCTTTACTGTTACTGCTAATGCTGCTTTCCTAGGGGCTCCAACTCCTAGGTAGGGTCGCACTGGGATAAATTACTATCTTTGAGTATTCCTCCTGCAGAGGGACAGGTCCGACTTGACCCCTTGCCCCTGCAGGGGGGGGGCCCGGGAGGGGGGCGCAGGCACCGCTTGTTTTGGGAACATCAGGGAGATCAGCGAGTGTGGCCTCTCGGGGCCCTCTCGCGGGGCCTCTTGGAAAGCCCTTGAGGCTTCTTGGGCTGTCGTGGCAGCGTCTCGGGCAAGCCTGTGCCATCTGAAGCAAATACTGGCCGTCTTCCGGGTCTCTTGGCCCCGGCTCCTGGGGGAGGTCGGGGGGTGGGGGGAGGGAGGCAGGGAGGGAGGGAGATATGGAGGGAGGGAGGGAGAGAGGAAGGGAGGAAGGTAGAGAGGGCGGAAGGGAGGGGGGCAGGGAGGAGGGAGGAGGGTGGTCCTGGGTCAGAGTACCGCCCCTCCCCCAGGTCCAGGCGGGTCCTGGGGGGGGGGGGGCGCCAACGGGGTTCCCCGAGAAACTCCCGCCTTGAGGGTCGGCGACGAGCGGCCATGAGGCCTTCACAATGCAGTCACCGCAATCGCGGCCGCATGGGCTGTACAAAAGAAGTTGCGGGCCAGCGGGTGGGATGATTGCGCGAGCAAGGTGGCTGCACCACATACACTGCAACACGTCCACACATCGTACATATAGCACCATGCTTGCAACCATGCTTGCGTACATCATTACATGCGTATACATACATACGTGTGTGTATGAATGGTTCGAATCTAGCACGTAGTTTTTTGGCACAAGACACCGATTTCTTCACACATATTACACATGGAGACTGCAAAAACCTCTTTTTGTTTCCCTTCTCCGAGTGGGTGTGCTCGCAGTGTTCGAATTCTATCAAAGCTTCTGGCCGTAGTAGTCCCTTGCCGTGACGAGCGCCCCCTCCGTGGCGAGCCCCTCACGTTTCGAGGGGCTCCGCTCCCGAGAGGCTCTGCTCTCGGGAGGTCCTGGAGCGAGGCGGGCGTGCCGCCTTCGCAAGGGACCAGTCGACTGCCATCTGGGCGACGGCCGCCTTCGAGCTGCCAGGCAGGAGGAGGCGGAGGAGGTGGAGGAGGCGGAGCGAAGGAGGGAGGAGGGAGGATGAGGCAGAGGCAGCAACTCTCCTGGGCTGCCACACTGAGCGGCCTCCACCCAAGGCGGTTTTCCTCGCCCGGGCGGCCGGGAGTCCCGCGGGGCGCAGGAAGCTCTCCAGGGGGAAAGAGGGGGGGAATCAAAAACAAAAAACAAAAAAAACGCGACAGGGCGGAGATGGGGAGGGGGCGCACGAGCCCCTTGTTCTCTGGGACCCGCACTGCACTCCACTCCACCCGCCACCCCTGCGAGCAGGGCGGGGGACGAGCCCCGTGTTATCTAGGACTCTCCACCAGCTCCACTCCACACACTTCTTTTGGTCTGCGGGTCGAGAGCGAGCCTCTTCCGGTTAAGAGCTAGGCGGGGCGCGCAAAGCACGAATTGGGGAGACAGGGCGCGGGCGGGCGGGGCCTCAGGCGGCCGGAGGGTGCGGGGTTCAGGCGGTGCCGAAGAGCTTGCACAGGAAAAGCTCCACACACACACACACACACACACACACACACCGCGCGGCTCACTTCATCTGCTGCTGCGCGGGCGCTCCGCCCATGCCGGCGTAGCCGCGCATCGCGGCGAACTTCTTCAGCAGCACGCGCTCGTGGAAGGCGGCGGCCCCTTCGCTGTGCCCCGAGCCGCCGCAGCAGCGGCCGCACAGGGTCGGGCAGCCCGGCCCGCAGCACCAGCAGCAGGGCGGCGGGCAGAAGGGGAAACCGCCCCCGCAGCACAGGCAGCAGCAGCACTTCACCGGGGGCGGGAGCGCATCCAGGTCCCAGAACAGGTAGCCGCCCGCGCCGTGGGCCACCACGACGTTCACCGAGCGCTCGAGGCCGCCATTCTTGAAGGGCCTCGGCGGCCTGCCCTCGAGGACCGCGAGGGCACCGGCCACCGCGTGGGCGGCGTGGTCGACGGCCCCCTGGGAGTTGGGGTGCTTGTAGGGGACGGTGCTCACTCCCGCGGCGAAGATCTCGGGCCGGGCCACGCTCTGGAGGCACTCATTGACGACGACCTGGCCCTTCTCGTTCAGCAACCCGGCGGCCTCCGCCAGAAAGGCCGTGTTGGGGCCCTGCATGTAGCCGGGGATGTACACGTCGCACTCCAGGGAGTCCTGAGTTGAGCCGTCCAAAGCAAGCGTGCATGGCGTAAGCCTATAGTCCTCGGCGCCAGCGCTGGTCACCCTGCCCTTCACGACCTCGATGCCCAACTCCTGCGCCTTCGCCTTCACCCGCTGCTGCCACTCTCCAGGGTGGGAGCCCGCCAGCAGCTCTCCGCTTCGGCTCAGCAGCACCACGCGGGCCGCCGGGTTGGCCACCTTCGCGTCTCCCGCCATCTCCATGCCCACGAGGCCAGGCCCGTTGATCACGATCGTCTTCGCCGCCTGGATCGCCGCCACGGCCTCCCGCACCAAGACCTTTCGCTCCTCCAGGCCCTCGCCGGGCACTGGCAGCAGGAGCGGGAGCCTGTTGCCAGTGGCGACGACCACGGCCCCGTAGGTGATCTGAGGGCTCTTTGCGAACTGGATCGTCCGGTCGGCGGGCGAGATCTTCGTGACGGCGTCGAAGATGTAATCCACGCCCTTCACGGTGAAGTCCACTGGGTTCTGGCAGAGCCACTTTTCGTGCTCCCCAGGCCGCGTGAGGGACATGGTGGCGGTCATCGGCCACTCGAGGAACGGGTTGGAGCACACCGCGGTCACTCTGCGCTTGCTCTTCGCAGCGACTTTCACGGCGTGCAGGAAGGCGATCCCGCCGCCGATGATCACCAGACCAGAATCCGTCGCGGACTGACTCGACATGGCACAGCGGGCACACGCGGGCTGTCGCTCCTGCGCGAACAGGCAAGAGGCAAGCGAACAGAAAACGACCTGAGCCAAAATGGCTACGGAATGCAAAAACCTCCTGTTTGGGCTCCACGATGGCAAGCATGTTGGAGCAAGGCCGAAAGCAAAATCTCACAGCTCAAAACAGCATGTCAAACTGAATCCTGAAACCCAGACAAGTTCGGTGGTGTCCCGCAGTGTTCCATGGCCGTGGTACCCTGCAGTATTAAATTTATTATGTGCACTTCAAGTTCATTCCCCCCTCTTCCCCTCATGCGAGTGACAAGCATCCGATCCGCTCCTTGCCCCTCAATGAGTTCCATGCCTCCCAATGCCTCTGCTATTCCAAACCCATGCTTGCTGCCTGGACTCAACGCCTTGCCTTGCCAAAGTGCAGGGAGGCCAGTGCCCGCGCGGTCCTGGTACGCCATCGCGTTCTTCTCCTCCCCCAGCACTCGTTTCATTCATTCCTAAATCGAGATCTTCCTCGCCTTAACCCCAACCAGCCAGGCCCAAACTATACTCCAGTCCATTCTCCTTTAGCGGGTCGCTCGCACTGAGTCGCTCATACACCGTCTCACTCCAACCATTGAAAACACTGTGAACCAACATTAGCATATGAAGATCCCCGATTCGAATAACTGTTTTCTCCTAACACAGCCGGTGCCCACCCCTCCGGCATCACCGGCGGGGACGAGTTCATGCAAATCATGCGCACCTGGTACAGGCCCTGCGCAAGGCGAAGGGGACAGGCGGGAGACAACCCAGCACAAAAACGGGACAGTGAGAAAGGAAGCAACCGATCCGCCACTGTTGGCACAGACAAGTAGACACCACTGACGACCTCCCAGACATGGAAGACAACAGATCCACGACCGTGTTGTGGAGCGATTGGTGTGCCTGTGTGTGTTGTGGGGAGGGCTGCATTGTTCACTGGCTTCACTCACTGCGACTCAGTAGCTAGGCCCCACGATGCATCGGCCTCAGCATGCGCCAACTGTCTGCCTAGAGTCCCTGCGTTCTGTGCCTTTCAGACGAGAAATGAGATCATGAGCTCAGGCCCTGGAGGGGAGCCTCGGCCACCCCACCCCACCCCGCCCGCAGCGCGAGGGCAGTTGCACGAGGCAGCGCAGCTGAATAACGGGTTGAAGTTCCGCCTCCACAGGGAGAAATTGGCACCGCCCTCGAGCTGGTCTGCACGGGAGGAGCGTGGGAAGCGAGAGGGAGATGATGGAGCAGCGCGCGGCGGAAGCGGCGCGGCACCGAGCAGCGGGGGGGGGAGGGGGCGAAGAGGCACGAAGCCCAAGACTGCCTTCGCCCAACCTGGACGCAGGCTGGATGCAGGCCTCTTCCTGGGCGAGGTAGGCGCGTGCACCGATCCTGGACCCAGGATGAAGTGGGCCATCCCTACTGTAGGCGTGCTCTGAGCACTTCCGCAGAAGAGGAAGAAGCGAGGGGGGACCCGGGCCAGCTACAAAGAGAATGCACTCCCCCAGACTAGAACTGGTCACAACCTCGAGAGGGCATGCCACGAGCAGCGACAATCGAGACAGGGAAGGGGCGGGGAAGGAGGAGGGATCCATAATGAAGTGGGGGGGGTCACATTTGGGGGGGGTCTGATTTGAGCGGTCTTGGAGGATCCAAACGGGGTCTAGGCAAAAGGCCGACCTTTCATGGCGGGTCTAAAACTGCTGGTCTGGGAGGGTTGTGACCCCCTCCCTTTTATTACGAAATCTGGAGTAAAGCCAATGATCGTCACATTGGCTGCGAACGCATACAGGCCACTGTTGCTTGGGCCTCCCAAGTCTCCGGCTCATGGCGGGTCTAAAACTGCTGGTCTGGGAGGGTTGTGACCCCCTCCCTTTTATTACGAAATCTGGAGTAAAGCCAATGATCGTCACATTGGCTGCGAACGCATACAGGCCACTGTTGCTTGGGCCTCCCAAGTCTCCGGCGGGGGCAGGAGGCGGAAGGAGAAGGAAGGAGAGGGAAGGAGGAGGCAGGAGGCCGGAGGAGGAGGAGGAGGGGAAGGGGGAGGGGGACAAGCTAGGTGCGCTCGTGTCATATCTGACGTCCTACTCCTCCCTCCCATCCCTTAACATGGCATCTCCTCTCTATTCGCACAGTCGGATGTCGAGCGGATCAATGATCCCGAGAAGGTGCGCGATGCATCGTGGAGCACGGCATAGCAGGGCGTAGAAAAGCATGGCAGAGCGCTGTATGTCATAGCCTGGCGTGGCGTTGCGTAGTGCAGAATTGCATCACAAAGCATTGCAACGCAAAGAATGGCATCGCACAGCGGCACATAACAGAACATGGCATAGCAAGTAATTAAAGATCAAAGCGTAGCATGGCATAGCATGGCGTGGCACTGCGTAGTCAAGCACTGCATATCCTAGCATCGCAGCTGAAGGCATGGCATCGCACAGCGAAATACATAGCATTGCCTTGCCTGCCGTTGCATGGCACTGGAAATAACGACACCAGCGCTCCAGCGGGGGGCACGATTCGGAACGAGCGGAAGCGCGAAAATGAAGCCAGCGCTTCAGCGGGAACAACATTTTGAAAAACAACCCAAGCGAAAACCCAACTCCTGGAAACCCTGTCAAAAATAGTACGCGGAGGGGGGCCGAACATCTTCGGGACTTCATGAGGGGAGAGAGGAGAGTAGTGTTCATGTTGTGACACTGTTGAGGGGAAGGAGGAGGAGCAGGAGGAGGAGGCAGGAGGGGGAGAGGATCCTTGGCGACCAGAGTGCTATACTCAAAATGAGAACCCAACCAGGGGAGGGTTGGGAAAAATCACTGGTTGTCCTACAAAGGTTTGGGTCAAGCTTGGTATCCTGGAGCGGGGGGACGCTAATTGAGGGCCCCCCCTTCTTTGATCGAACTCCTCCAAGATGGCCCCCAGATGGCCCCGAAGGCTCCCAAGGCTCCCAAGAGTGCCCCAAGAGGCCCCCAAGAGGCTCCCAAGAGACCACCGAGAGGCCCCAAAAGGCTCCCTGGACGAACCCAAGACGCTCCAAGAGGCCCCCAGGACCGCCAAAAGGCTCCCAAGACGCCCCAAGAGGACTCCAAGACGCTCTTAGGAGACATCCGAAGAGACTCCGAGAGGCATCCAAGAGGCCTCTGGCCATTCTGCTCGCCCTCCTCCTCCTCCTCCTCCTCCTCCTCCTCCTCCTCCTCCTCCTCTGCCTCCTCCTCCCTCCTCCCTTTTGCCTCTCCATCATCCCCCTCTTGGGGTATGACGGCTTCCCCAGCCCGCTATTACACGACATGCTCCTCCACATCCCTGGGCCCAGCGCCTCGCCTGGGCATCCTTTCTGGATGGGCTACATGGGGTTGCTCGAACCGCCTAGGATATATGCCAATGCCATGTATATTGTGTGTGCGGCTGTCGCATATATGCCTTCTCCGTCTTAGGAGCGTCCAGGACGGCACAAGAGGCCGACAGGATCGACCCAAAACGGTCCCCAAGAGGGACCTGAGAGGAAAGGAAGGGAGGAATAGGGAAGGGACAACAAAAATGTGGGAAGAAACGGGTAACGAGGTATACGGGGTAGAGGGGGAAAGGAGGGAGGGAAAATAACAGGAGGGGGAGAAAGGAGAAAGAAGCAAAGGAGAAGGGAGGGGGGAGGAAGGGAAGAGAGGACAATGAGAGACGTGCGATAAAAAGGACCAGCAGCGGAAGGAGCATGATGGGAGCAAGGGGCCGAGACGATCCTTGAAGCACTCCCGAATTGGGGTGTCGTAGGTGCACTGTATATCAGACGTTCGAGAAAACGGCAGATATAAATACGTGAGAACGGCGGGACAAAACGACATAACTTGGAGGTCGGACGTACATATTCCTCTTAAACACTGACATATGTGGGAAGCAATGTACGTCGAAGGGTCGGGATTGTGAGATTACCCCACGGTGGGGCCGTATAGCTGTGGACCGAAGGAGGGTAAAAGCACAATTGAACACTCAAGGTCATTCTCGACAACAAACACGGTCCATTCGTCGAGGGGCACACTTCGATCTAGAAATGCAAATTCATACCGCAGAAGACACGCAGTGTGATTTTCTGAACGAAGACTCAGAAACCGCACCTTGGAACCAGCCTGCAACCACGCACCCCTGGACAGCGAATATCACTCTGACAACGGACACCAACGCGACCTTTACAATTATCCGAAAAGTGGCCGTTGGGGAAACGTGGAATGATGGATATCGAACATGATGACCGATGCTGGTCTCTGCTGCGACCCGCAGCGGCGATGGCGAATACTTTTCCGTCCCAGCCGCAAGCGGAAGCGCAGGCGGCGTCCGAAGTCAGTCCGGGCTACGAGCCAAACCTAATTACCTAAACGCGCGAACTAACAACCGCCGAAACTGCCACCGGGGGACGCCGAGGAGCGACGCCGGGGACTGAAGGCAGAGCTGCAAGAGGTGCCAGGTGTGCCAGGCGGCTGAAATCCAACCGTTCCAGGGGCGAGACCACCTGGAAGGCAAACGAATTGTACCTTGTCGCGCCAGGCGCCAGAGGTAAACGAGCCACCCGAGCAAAGTACGGCACAGCGTGGGGTTGAGCAAGCAGCCCAGCATACCTGTGTCGCACGCCAACCGTGGCAACCTCAGGTGGTTGAACAAGAAGACTAAACCACTCATGCGCAATCCACGTGGAGGTGCATCCCAGCAATGCAAGGCGGCAGCTGCAAACACGGCCAGGCTGTGGCAGTCTGGGGACCAGGGGCCATGAACATGCGAGCATGCTAGCTGGAGCTGGTCGACGTGCAAGTCACCGGGACGCCAGGGTTACCCCACCAGGCTCAAAGGAGCCAGCACGGACACCAATAGACGCCAGGGACAGAGGGCGAAAGCCCGGGAACCGCAACCAGGGTGTGGTCGGCGGCAGGGCGGCGGTGGCCAGGGGGGGCCAGACGGCGCCAAGACGGGCGGCGCAGCAAGGCGATGGCGAATACGCTCTACGGCGAAATTGGAAACCACGACCTGCGACGCGCGACTCGAGACTCGGGGATTCGGTATCATATTGGCTCAGGGACGCGCAGCCCACGCACGCGCGACAGGGGAACACCTCCCTTCGACTAGATCTATCGACGAGGCACCGCACAACGCGAGAGATGCGGGGAC